TGTTCCTCCGATACCATGATCAGGATGTCTTTGAACTAAAATTTTAAATTAGTCAATTTGTTAGATGATGAATTGAATTAAATTGAAGAAACAAAAACCTCAGATACAAAAATCTTACCAAGGATGTTTGGATGCAATTTATTTAGAACGCCTTTACTATGTTTTGAATTCAAGGTCAAAGCTTGAGTTACTTCTTTATAAAGAATGACATAAATCTTGACACCTTCTTCAGCCTTTTTCTTAAGGAGTCTATCGAGACGATACTCTTCGTTTTTATAAGGAGGTCTACGAAGATACTATTTATTAATTACGCGAAAAAGAAGAAAAGAAGATAACAATAATTAAATACTTTATAAGTTGGTGATTATTGAATGAATGAAAATTTATTATAATTAATTAACGACACGTACCACTTCAGGTGAAAGCCACCAGTCTTCAATGAAAATTTCTTCTCTTGCTTTAGACAAAGCTTCAGAGACAGCATAATAATAGTCTTTGCCGTCTACATACCATTTAGCATGAACATTATTTCTAATTTTTGCAAAAGAACCATAACGGTGACAGTCTCCTTCCCCTTCTTTTTGCTCGCCTTGAAATATACTAGTGACGTAATTAACGACTTTAGAACCGGTATCTTCAATAAAATCCATTATTTACTATTATTCAATTTTTTTATTATAAATAATTATCGTCGTTACAATTAAAAAAAAATTCTGGAGAGCAAAAAATATTGATTAATTGATTGCTTTGACTAAAGAAAAAGAAAAAATCCTGGTTAAGAAAAAATCTTACCTTTTTGATCGGAAAAAAAAAGCCACAATAACAGACGATGGTTCCACATACATTCCCTTTTCTCAAAAGTAAAGAATCCGTGAACATTGATTTAAAAGTGTAAACTAAATATAGATACGCGTATTACAAATTAACTGATTTAATGATAGTAAATAAACACAGAGAATTATCTCATATATATATATATATATATTAATTATGTTATAACAATTAACAACGAAACTTTCAAATAATCAATTAAACTATTCAAAATAAACTACTATTCAAAATAAACTACTATTCAAAATAAACTACTATTCAAAATAAACTATTATCAAAATAAACTACTATCAAAATAAACTACTATCAAAATAAACTACTATCAAAATAAACTATTATCAAAATAAACAATCTATAAACTTTCAACTTTAAAATTTAAACTTTATGCTCTTTTTTTATCTTTACCCGATGATTTATCTAAGTAATACAAAATTAAATGTCATACATTAATTAGTGAAACATAAAATTTTTAGATAATCTTATATTTTTTTTTTAGGAATTTTATAATAATTAAATAATGTCGTGCCGTAAATATATACAAGAGTTAAAACTGGTTTTAAATCGACTTTAAAAATTTTTAAAAGCATCTACCGAAAATCTTCTCATAAATAGAAACCTTTATCAGCCATTATTGTTTAGTTCATCCACAATAGTTATCTAAAAAGAATTCTGGACAAAATTTTGTACACGAGACAGTAGGTCAAGAAATAATTAAAATAGCTTATGTTTTTTTTTATTAATAAACTTCTCATCCATTATAGTAAAAGTAATATTAAAGCAACTAAAAGTATGTTTTATATTTATTCATTGTCTTTTCTGAAGTTTTGTCAGATGTTCAACATCAATGTTATTATCAAAAAAGAGTATTCTTACTTTTTCAATTTTGAAGTTGACTTACCAT